ATCTACGAAAAATCTCTACGAGATGTAGGTGTTGGTGTAGGTGTGGGGTGTGTGAGTGTGGGTGTGAATGAGTGGATGCGGAAGTGGGTGTGAGTGTATTTACATAAGAATAATTCCAAGCATCATACGACGCGTTTCGACTATTGCTCAGATAGTCATCATCAGGTATATGGGTGTGGGTGTGTTAAATCTCTTATTAGATAGATTCAAAGCAATCATATGACGCATTTCGACTATAGCTTACGTAGTCATCATCTAGTATGTTTAGAATCTATCGCTATATAGAAAACAAAATATTCAAAATCCAATAAACCTATGTATTTACAAGAAATTTTTCAATACGATAGTTACAAACAACTGCCAACATGAATAAATTTAAGTAAAAGGAACAAAGGATAGAAATTGAAATTTGTTATAAATTGTAGTTAATTTAATAGAGGGTGTGTTAAATCTCTTATTAGATAGATTCAAAGCAATCATACAACGCGTTTCGACTGTTGGAAACGTTGTTCATATGCCGGGTTGTTGTTTTTGACGTTGAAGTCGGTCGTCTGCAATTTAAGAAATGATGTGTGTTTTTGAAAATTGTTCTGTAGAAGTTGGGTTACCTAAGATTGGTCATTTTTTTGAGGTGATTGTAGTATAGTACATTTGTTTTTTCTGTCGTTTGTTGCAGTGCAGGTATTAATAGATGGATGTGGGTGAGAATATGTTGTGATGAGTAGTGGACACAACCTTTGGCTTGACGCTTGTCATTTTGTAGGAGGTGATTGTCTTGTCTGAATTTTATTTTTGTGTGCTTAGTTAATTTGCCGGTGAATGACAGAATTTGTTGTTGTTATGTGATTTCTTTGTTTTGTATAGTGCCTGTGGTTTATCTAGAACAGAGAAGTTAAAACATGGGTTATGACTAGCGGCTTCAGGGAACATATTAGACGGTTCTGTACGAGGTAGAGTTTGGTAAGTTTTTTGTTTATTTATTTCCGAATATAACGAAGAGAAATTACAAAGATGTAGGTTTTTTGCAAAACATAGATGTTTATGGTTTTTGTTATGTGTTTTAATTTTTTGTTGTGAGTTGACCGGAATTGGTGCCTATGAGTCTTCTCGACGAGTCAAAATCACTTTTCATGGTGTGGAATGGGTATGGGTAGTCTCTAAATCTTATGCCAAATTCACACCCACACCCACACCCAACTGGATTTTCAGATTCAAGCATTTCTTCAAATTCTTTATTTGTCATTGTTCTTTCAACTAAAAGATAATAGAAGAAACAAAATGATCTCATTCATTTCAAGTTCTCGCTGTAATAGTTCTTTGTATTTTTGTTTTTTCATAATCTAACTGCACTTGATTATAATCATTCATGACTTCGTGAAATTCTTGGAATGAAACAAAAAACTGTAGCATAAATGCAATAAAAAACATAAAAGAGTATTAAACATGTATGAAGAACATAATAATAATAAAATTAAATCAAAATTAATCTTTTTTTTTGCTGAATTTATTTTGTTAACAACCTCTCTCTTCGAATTATTTTCTGAGTTTTCTTTTTATTTTCTTTCCAAATAATTTCTTTCTCTACATAGAAAACATTAATAATTTGATTAAGTCTTTTTAAAATATTGTACAACTAATGTCGATACAAGTAGACGAAAAAATATACATAGAAGTCAGGGATATTTCACAGGACATGCACCTCTCGACGAAAGTCTTTCCTTTCCCTTGGATGACACCTCGATTGGTTTGTTAGAAATAGAATTATGATGAGCGCGATCTAGTTTTGCTTTAAGTTTCATAGCCTGAGAAAAGAAAGATACTGTAGGTAGAGAAAGAGACCTATAATCGTAGAAGAAAGTCATTGGAGTTGATATCAAACTCTTTTTTTGAATGCATTTATGGGCAAATCATTTTCTGCATTAATAGCATTGTTTTTTTTGCACCCATTTATCATCTATGAGCCATCGCACAGTAACTCTTTCATATTAACATTTATTCAGGATTTTATTCACTTTGAGGGTGGGTTATGACTTAAAGAACTGCACTCGCATTCACTCTCATGTTATACGTATAGTTGTTTAAATCAATCTGACATTGAAATAGTTCAGTTATATGATTGTTATTGTAGTTTAACAGATCGTTTATTTAAGACTTTTTTAAAAATCGATCTCACTCCATATATAATCACATCAGCTAAAATTTTTAAGATACGTTGGGGCTATAGTGAAGAAACTATGTTAAATTTTGAGTTAAATATCATGACTTTCGACAGAGATATTCATTAAACAAGAGCCGAATATACCTCATTGGGCAAGTAAGATTTCTTAGCTGAATGTGGCTGTAGGTGTATTGTCTCCGAAAGAACACCACACAAACACATACTCCTACTCATAGTTGCGTCCACACTCTCAACTATCTGCTGAAAATTTTATAATTTTGTTTCATCTAGCAAAAAAAAATAATAATAAAGATAGGAAGATATTCAAAACAAAACATTAATAATGCTTGAAATTCGTGTTTATTATTTATTATTTGCGCCGTATTTAAACTTTTCGAATTAGAATTCCATATGGACGGATATATTTGTCACTAGGACTAATCCAGTAATCACCAATGCCAGTTTCAGCAGCCGACAATTTTACTAATTGTTCAGGGTTCACACGATTTTGTAATATAAGCAAATATTGATTTCCTTCATGTGAAAATTTGACTGCATATTTTTCTGCTACATTTACGTCAGGAGTTGAATAAACGCCATGTCCAAAGACATATCTTTTACCTTTCGTTAAATTGTAGCCATCCGTCGCCATCGTTTTGTTTTCATTGAGACCAGTTCCATGATAAGAGGCAGGCCATTCCCCTTCGGTGTTCTGGTGACCAAGCCATACCGAATTTTCATATTTATCTGTTACTTTAATGGCAAAGCGTTTCCAGCCGCAAGGACGAACATAATCGAGTCCACCTCGTCGAAATTTACGCTCGTGATCTTGTACATTTGTAAAATCGTAATCATATTGTGGATCGAGACTTGAAAGATCTAGCGTAGATGGAGCTTCAACACGCATACGTGAAACTAAGTGTAATGTAACTCCATTATGTATTCCATAATGACTTAGTGTTGCTCCATCTTCTAATTGTTTTCCAGCAAAAATGATTCGTTGTTGATCAGCTGATATATCCTTCTTTTTTTGTATCATTTTTTTAAGATCCTCAATAGTTTTAGTTGGATCTATTTGACAAGTTATATTTTCATTAGTCGATTGTTTAATGTATATATCTCTATCATGTTAGTATTTTCCATATTGCGACCTGAGTAAGTATCCCCGACGCCACCAGATGAATATGTCGTGGTATGATGATTAAATACAGAGAGCTTATTATACGACTCTGATGATTTGTTGTTCGGAACCAATTGCACGCCACTAAGGGCTGTTAGCGCCGCTTGAATTAAATCATGATCATTTTGAGTGTAACTTGATTTTGCCATCACAAAGATCAGAATGAAATCTACTAGAAAAATATGTGCTCAAGATTATAAAACAAGAAAAAAAACATGTGTTCAATAATCTTAAGTCTAGAACAGTTTGATATCACTCTTAAAACGACTATTCTATAGATAATTGACGGCAAACATCACAAATTATTGCGAGACTCTTGTTTGTGAATATGCTATATTATAATGTTCAAGCTTTGTTCAGCATTTATCCTCATTCACATTAATTTGCCTTGATTTCTGCGGTTAGTTTACTATTTTTCTCTTGACTATGTAACTCTAAAACCACTACTTTTTCTCAAGTCTTTATTGATGGGTTAATACGCATTTCTACCTTCATCGAAACCTATATCGAGTTACATAAAATTCGTATCTATCTGCATTCCTAATATAAACAGGTTTATCTCTAAAATATTCATTTGTTTGTATTAGTAGTTGAGATATTGCTTTGAAATATTTTTTGGAGTTATATTCTGAGAAACTTTTCATAATTATTTAACAAAAAAAAACTCATGCTATGTAAAATACTTGCAAGTAGTATTCATTCTCATCGAATTCGAATTACCAAAAAAAAAATAAGTAACTGTAAAGTGGTTAATGGCTGTCGATGACAGAACGACAAAACTCACAAACTCGCTCGGTGTATTTGTCTTTTTATTCAGTGCAGAAACACATCACATTTACAAATTTCGTCGTTTCTTTTGTACACATACACTCGAATGAAAGTATTGTAAACAGTAACTAAGCATCATATTCTATCACTATGTTTTTCGCTGAAGCAAACAGCATGCATAAAAATATGTTCGATTGAAGTCAGTGTCCTTTTTTGGCAACTGCAAAATAATACTGCATGCTGTTAGAAATGAAAGATAAAAGAGAATAAAATAAAGTAATGCGGCGACCACTTATCTTTAGAAAATGAAATATTCAAATCTTAATTCAAAATCTCGATATTTTCGATGTAACAACATTTCACAAGGCCTGTTTCCTACAAAGACTTCTTTACTTATGTTACATTCTCTTCAATGAATTAATTAATTGAAATCTCTGACAATATATGTTTTTTTTTCAATTTCTTTTGAGTTGTACGCATAATAATATGTATTCTATGACGAATAATAAGAAAAAAAAACAAAAACTACCAATGTCTCTAAAGAAACGAAAATCTCAAGGTAATAAACTATGAGTAACTTAAAACTTCTAAAGATGATGACACGTGTGCTTCATTGCATCACAGCTATTTAATAAACAAAGAAATTCATATTTTAATACTGTTCTCTAAGTTAAAGTCAATCCATGATTGTATATTCAATGTTTTTTTAAGTAATCGAACTGCTCTAGTTTATGACAACTATTGATAAAAATTCCTTATGTTACGTTTCATATCGATATTTATCGAATATAATTCACTGTCACCTGTTTTTTCATTGTCTGAATGCTCTCACATAATAATTTGTACAGCGTATATAGAAGGATAGATGTGGAATGTGTAAGTGTGGATGTTGAATCTCTTTACATTCACATTCACACCCACAAATATATGTCGGTTTTACGGTTGTATACATCACATTTAAGTCAGTCGTATTGTTCTGCCTGAGTGGAGAAAAGTCATACTAAAGGATTGATCTCATACATAGAATAAAAACGAAAAAAGTCTTCGGGCTATCATCAGTTATATTATAATAATTGAAACAACATGTGTAAAGAGATCTTATCTCGAGTCGCCTGATGTGTCCTTTAGTATGGACGAAACGTTAATGTCATCGTCACTAGAAGCCTATATTTTATGATAAACTCATCGTCACCCTCTTTACCTCGATAATTTTTTAGTGTTCCGAATACTAGGATATTTTAACTCATCAGATGCTAACACTATACGTTTGTCTTTTTTACCTCTAATAATATCTTTCCATGTATGCACTTTGCATTTTTAAGTGTATGCTTTTTTGTGTTCTTATCATTTTTTTTGTGTATTTATCTGAAGAGACTTTGTTCTTTGCATAAACTCTTCGATTATTGCATTTATTACCAAAAGACGGTCGAAACGAATCTACCAAATTTTGATTATCTCTGTCTACCGACCGATATCTTTTATGATGATAAAACATAATTTAACGTCCAAAACAAGTAATAGATTTATTTCAATGAAGAGGAGACACAAGAGTGTGGGTGTGGGTTCAGAGAACAGCCACAGCCACACACACCCTGTTCCGTGTATTCTTATCAGCAATGAATGACGAGCTGTTCTTTTGTGTCTGAAGCCAAAAAACATGGTCTATATCAGAAGAATTAAGCAACAAACAGGTAGTAAACATCAAGATGAAGTAAATGAAACACATTCAGTTTGAAATACTACATACAAAAGAAGTGGTTTGATGATTCTTCTGAATAAATTATAGTACGAAGCAAGATTATTTCACAATATCGTCAATGAATGTGTAAGTAAAAAAAAAGAGCTTCCAGAACAAGAGTTGGATGTAGAGACAAGAAGAAAAAGGTTCATTTAGCGCGATCAGATTGGAGATGAATGACCCATTTGTTTTTGATCTCGTCAAAATTACATGATCGAATATAGAATCGGAAATCAGGATCGAGTAGTTGTTCTTCTTCATCAGGATAATTGGAGTAAGCAGACACATCATGGCCATCATACTGGCAATCAATCTCAATGACGAAGAGAACATTACCGAAGTGTTCTGCTTTCGTTCGATTTCGACTTGTCGATGTGAATGCGGGAAATTTAAACTTTATAGAATTATTGCCTACATCCGAAGAGTTCTGGCGATACTGTTCGATTAAGTCAGAGGATATATTTGCTCCGCGGTAGACAATCATCTTCTTCTGCTCGGTATCATATCCACTCAAAGCATACAGGAGATAAGCAAACGGACCAAATGTGGACACTTTACTTTTCCATACTTGTTCATACTGAGGATCACCAACAAGACGCATCCATTCATTTAATTTCTTGTAGAGAAATGATTCCATGCAATAGAGACGAGCACAACACTCATAGACTTCTTTTTCAGTCCTCTCTTTGACGTTGAGTAGTTGTTGGCTTAGCCATAAACCTTCCTGCTGTTTGCCAACTTTCTTTCCTTCGACGATGAGACCTTCAGCTGCTTTTTCAATCAATATTCGACGTTGAACATCATTGAATGAAGAAGCAGTGAATTCGAAGTGCTCTCGAACTGCACGGGCGAAGTACAAAGAACTAGTGTCTGTGAAGGATCCGGATGGTGCAATAGGATTATTCGTAAAGCGTTCTTCTCTTAATCTTTCTTCTCCACGTTCATTGACTATTCGCTTGACAGGTCGTTGATTATTGACATTATTGTTCGATATTTGGATGACATGTTGAAAATCAATGTGATAATCGTCGAGTAATGCTTCCGATAGTTGTTTTTCAAATGCTTCTTCGATAATGGCCATTTCTACATCGGAGTACGAGTGCCATTCTGCCGGTTGAAAGTTCGAGAAAGGATCTATGTTCGCTTTCCACATCCACTCAACCCGTTGATGTCTAGCTGGTAGTATATTAGATACATTGTGACGATGACTAGCACGTGTTGAGGACTGTTCCTGGCCCATTTCAACTATTTCAGTTGTGTAAAAGAGCAATTTTGTATTCGTCGATGATGATGATGATGATGAAAGTAATGTGTTAATGTAGAAGAGAAAAGTAACAAAAATCGATGTTGCATGACCAAAAGCACGTGTCATGATGAAGAAAAAACAAAACATGTCTGTGAAGGTAAATTTAACATTGCTTCACGTACGTCTCTAACTTTTTCGAACTGACTGACAATTATTGTTATGAATGATGATAATAGTTCTATTCAGTATAATTAATCAGACAGTTTGAAAAAATAGTTTTCCTATTCATCACAAAACTTTAATTATGTACTCATTATATCATTCGTACAAACTATATAATATACATATTATATAATATAAAAATCATCATTTAAAGAAATATCAAAATTATATTAGAGTAAAAGAACCTTAACAGAATGTTTATGCTAGTTCTATTATCAATCTAGTCCACGACCAATTACAACTTGATCAAATAGAATGAGTTGATATTTTTGCCAATTGCTTGTGGATACAAAGATTTGTGCGTGTGGGTGTGGACATGGCTATAGATCACAAACACCCACACCTTATTTAGTATAAAATTCACAAAATGCTTTTTAGTGCTAAAAACATATTTATGTCTTTGTGTTCATGAAATGTATGTTCAATAAGAAGGATATCTTGCGTAAAATTATCAGTGTAAGGAAGCAAATAATTTGTGTTTTTTTTTATTCGACGTTGTCTTTGGTTCGTTGTTCCTCATAGATGCATGATGCAAAACGAGATGCTCTTTCAGATTCAATGAAATCCAAATCAATATCATTGAATTCATTTCTTCGAACATTGTCACTTGTATGATCCATAACATGTTGAACAAGAAGTGAATAAATAACATCCTTCAATGGACCAACATAGTAATATTCACATTCTATATGATAATAATCTTTCTCTTTAATTAACCATAGATCTTCATTTGAGCTAGGATCTAACATAAGATCATTCAATATAATTTGAACTTGTTTAGATAGAATAAGAGATGATTGAGAAAGATGAAGAAGTATTTTAGCTGTAACATGTCGAATATTCATTGATTTTGATTTTAAATAAGATAATAAAAGATTTAAAACGACTTCCTCGTCTTTAATAGAATGAATATGTGTTATACATTTATAACAATTGTTTTGAACATATGGATCATCACGTACTGCTTCAATGAACATTTTACATAAGTCGATTGTTAATTCACCCAACATTGATAGAACTGTTAAGCAAGCAGCACGTTGTGGGAAATGATTTTGTTTACTCGCATAAAACAATGCACGCTTCAAATTATCTTGATCATGCCAATCTTTGGTGAAAGTACAAAATTCTGTTGGCTTACGTATAGCGATTAAACTAGCAATTTTTACATATGTAGGATATGAATAAGCTATCTCGTAATAATTATCTTCAACATGTAATGTTTCAATAGTAAAGTGGCGTATACTATTGTATAATTCGATCATAAAGATTGGCAAAAGAGTAGGATGTTCTTCAACAAACATCGCGACAGCATTTTCACTATTTTGTTGAATATCATCCAGATACCAGGATGCTGTTGATCCGATCAATGCATGGTAACACTGAATATAATCAAAACTAAGTATTCCAAGTAGAAATGATGTATCATTGATAACACGACCAAATCCTGTACGAACAGCTTTCACAATATCTTGTGAATCATGTCTTAATAAAGTACAAAATAAATCCAGATCATCTTGATCAAATGCAACTTTGTTTTTGGATACACAATAGGAATAACTTGTAATGAGTGCACTCAAAACATTATTAGAATACGTTAAAGTTTCATCAGATATGTTGTTCACTACGAATATAATTTTTTCAAACAAGTTTTTATATGTTCTTTCATTACATACATAGCCAAGTGCATACGCTACTGCTTGACGAATTTGACTATTGTCAGACATCTCGAATAAATTCATCAGAGCAGCAATTGCTACTTGCCGTGTTTCATTATTATTATTCAGTAAGTTGCATGAAGTCAAAAGAACTGAAATAACAAATCGAGTGTGACTATCCGAAACTGCATTTGATGTTGTATCTCCATCAATCGCCCAAAATGAAAATAAATTTGAAGCAATCATATCACACAAATATAGTATTAAATCATTAGAAAGTCGAAATAAATTAACATAGGTGCAACTATTTATTGCTATATCAGTTGAAAAAAAGGCAGCTACATAGGAATTTTCCGATGATCTTAATTTGTTTAATGAATATTTCGTATTTGTCAATGCATGAATTCGGTATCTTTCTAGCCAAAGTAATGTTTCTAGATGAGATTGAACATCTAAAGTTATATTTCGTAACAATCGACCTAACGTAAGTACGACAGATGCTGAAGTTAATTGATAATGAATTTTTTTCTTAAGTAAAGTTAATAAAACATCAATACCCAATTTTGAACTAGTTCGAACATCATCTTCATTTGATGATCGGAATATAATTTCAGCTCTCTGACGAAAACGATCATTGTCATTACATAAAAGATCACATACTATTGTTGTAGCTTCAACAGACCATATATCAGAATTAATTAGAAGAAGTGCAGCATGATAGGCAAAATAAGAGAATTCATTTGAATCTTTCCATTTCAACCAAGATTCTAACAAACGACATGCTTTTAATTCTACCCAATTCATACGATGAAGAGCATTGTTTAAAATAATCCAAAGCTTCTCGTATTGATTATATTGATTTGTTAACGAAACAAATGAAAGAATATTAGTTATTGTTAATGCTTGTGCTTCTGTCAAGATACTATTTTCGAATTGAAATAATTTTGTTTTAATTAATTCATCGATGTTAAATTGACGATTATCCATTTTAAGACATTCATGAAAATCATTGGCTAATTCCATAAGATACAAATTCGAAATGGATAATGAAAATGATAAATTTTCATGTGTATCAATATTAAAATATTTCTTCAACAAAGAAGATTTATTACGTATTATTCTATTTTGTTCTTGTAAACTATATGAAAAACGATTTGTAATCGATGAAAAAATGTAATTTAATTGCATGTATGGTAATAATGCTTCAATAACTGCTTGTTGATCTCGTCGATCTGTATTGGCAAATTTATCAAAAAGATTTTTAAGACAATTATCAATCATTTGTGAATGTTGAAGTAAAGGTAAACATCGAATGACAATAGCTGTTTGTAATAGAAGAGGTAGATTTGAATAAATTTCATTCAACTGATGTTCAATTTCCTTTTGTAGAGATCTATCTCTACCTACTTTAATTCGATCATAATCAGAATAAGAATATAAAGCAATTATACATAATGCATCGAGACGAGCAAGTTTATTCTGAATTGACATAGCTCCATGTATACATTGTTCTAACAAAGATAATTTTCTTTCATCTTCACTCCAATGACAAATATGTGCCAAAGAGATTGATGCAGAATAAAATTTTATGTTTGATGTATCATTTACAAGTGAAGCATTTTGAAGTCTTTCATATTCTTGTTCAATATTATCTCGAATAATTGTTTTTTGTTGTTCGTCTATTAGATCAGTTCCAGTAAAAGGATTTTCATCTGTATCCGTATACTGTCCAGTTTCATAATTTATTAAACGTTGTTTTTTTATCTCATAAGTGCCCAACATAGAGGAATCTTTTATAGATAATGTCCACAAAAGACTACTACCAAAATTTTCTAATTGATGCATTCGAAGCCAAGGTAGTAGAGTAATTAAAGCGCTTAGAATAGACAATCTCTTGCAAGATGCATTTGATAAAAACATCAAACATTCAATTAGAATGTGACCGAAATAAAGATGTTGTCTGTTATTGCTTATAAAATCTTTTGAATTGATCATAATAAATTTTCCTTTCAACAATCGAACATAAAGATTTCGTAAATGTGAAGGAACAAATGTTAATGGAAATAAAAGGTCTTCATCATTGCGAAAGTGTAAATATTCTGGTACTTTATCCAGAGCAACAGCCATTCTGTATTGTGTCTCAAGTTCATCATTATGTTCTAATGGCCAGAAAAGTTTAGTGAAATGATGAAGTATTGAGCAAGATTTTCGATCGGAATAAAATTGTACATCTGTTGATAAAAGACCATTGAGAAACTTACCCTCTTGTCGAAGAGAATTAGGTAAATGTAATGTTACTCGTGTATTAGGTCTTGATTCTCCTTCCAACAAAATTGATTTTGAAGAAGATCGCAAGCGAGCTACACTAGTTCTCAGTGAATCTAACAAATCCAGAAAATTAATTCTTGCTGATTCGACATATTGAAATTTTTCAATTGTAATTGAAATAAATTTTGTTGTTTCATTTTCCATAGATCGATCATTTTCATCATTGGCAAAATAGAATTGACGTAGAATCATTGAAATATATTTTAATCTATTCATACTCATATATAAAAGAGAACTGGAGATAGTTTTCAAATTTTCTTGTACGTATTCAATGTTGTAGAAGCAGATAGTTGCAATAAATAAATCAACTGCTTCTGACGATTCATCATGATTTTCCATTCGTATCACAAAAGATTTTATACATTCTTGTTTTAATTTTTTTAAATATTGATCTTGTTTATCATGATCTTTTTCGGAAAGGAAACGTATTAAAATTGGTGTTATTGCAGTTGATTCTCGATGAATATGAGACGGATCGAAGACAACAGTTTGATCATCTCGTTTTAAACCACCATATAAACTAATGATTAATGGAATGAGAACTACAGGAATTGAATTCATTTCAATATTTTTATCAAGTAGAAATCCTTTGAAAGTAGTTGGATTTAAAGGTAATAACTGATGATTTGAAAAAGAAATTTTAACTAATAGTCGATCAATAGCAAATCCATTATTTTCATTATCAAGTGTTGACAAAGATTGAAGCATGGAACAAGATGATTGATCTAACCATTTAATATTTTCAAATTCATGATGTTTTCCTTCGATGAGTTGACAAAGAGCTATTATTGTTTGAATATCATGTCGAGAAGATTCCGACAAGAATTTATTAATCCATAATGAAACAATATCATTTCGAAATTTTCTCAATGCAATTATAATTTGATCGAGTAGAAACGGACAAACAATTGACCATTTATGTTGACCAGCTGCAATTATTAAATGATCTAAAGCATCGAACAAAATTTCATTCGAAGGATACTTAACATAATCATCAACACAAGTAATTAATATATAAGCACCAAGAGGTAATAATGAATCATATTGGTTTTGAGCTTGCATAAATTCATAGCAGAGATCGTCAAAATCGTTTTGAGACCAAGAAGAACTAGTTTTTTCGAAAGCAAGTGCAACTGGTACTCGAAACTGTTGATTAGTTGCACGATAAGATAATGATTGAGTGATACGTTGAATTTTTTTATCTCGATCGAATCCATCAGTAATGAATTTCTGTTTTTCTGACGTATCTGCTTCGATGAGTTTTAAGCAAATGAAATATTCTTGAAATGCTACATGAAGAAAACCATAGAATGATTCGTCTCGCGAAGCTAAAATTCCACTATTGTCACAAATAATTCGTATCATTTCAGACACTTGTTTTTCGAAATTATGAATATCATTTGTCATTGTTGAATTTGTATTCTTGGAAATTTTAATTGTTTGGATACAAATTTCTTTTATTTCTTGATTGCTAATAAAATTCTTTGTTGGATTTTCATAGATAAAAGAAGCAATTTCAGTTAGAGTTCGAATCATTTGTGATAGATCAATAGTTGGCATTTTACTATGCCATAATTTTAGAACTGATTTGATAATTGATTCATATTGAAGAATACGTGGAGTAGGTAAAGGTGGACCATCTAGTTGACTAAAACGTATAATACAAATAGATGCGAGTAAACTAGAATTTGAAGCCATTTCAAGAAGACGAACATTTTTAGTTATTTCTAATTCTTTTTTCAATGCTTCACTATGATTCTTTCCTTGATTAACTAATGGAAGATTTAAAATATCGATTATACATTGATGTACACAAAAAAACCAATGATCAACAAAATCTTTTATATGTTCCATATCCATAAGTCGAACTGTATAATGAGCGAATTGATCCGCTAATGGTGCAACATGATAATCGCCTATACGACTTGTAATGATTAATTGATTACCTCCTAATCGAGATGGATCATCTAATAGCTTGCTTAAAAATACATTGTCAAAAACAGAAACATTTGTGGGTGTCTGAACATAGGTATCAACAAAGTTTTCAATAATATTAATGATTTTTAAACGTTGATCTAAAACAGGAATTTCATTAAGACCATCAACTATGATCAGAGCTTGACCTTGTTGAATGTAATCTTGAAGAGCACATGATATATTATCAGAAGAGATCGATGAATCATCAACTATTAGCTTTCCCATCCATTTATGTTTTCCAATATAATCAAATAAAGTAAGCGATGATTGTTCTTTCAATAGTTCAGCAAATTCACCAATATGAATGAGAATTGGTATTCGAAGAGGACCATAATCAGTTGAATGTTGTTTATTAAGAAGAAGTGTCTGAGCAAGATGATGAACAAGCCATCGAACAAAACTTGTTTTTCCACTTCCTGGATCACCCAAAATAACAATCCAACGTTTAGTTCGAATAATATTCTCTTGAATAATATTGTTTTCTTCGGAAGGGCAATCTCTTTCAGTCATCAACATCATATAGGGATCTGAAACTAATCGTTCCCATATTCCTTTAGATATTTTTTTTCTACTGTTTGTATCCTGTAATATATCAACTTCATTTTTCATACGTAATCGTCGTAATTCATTTCTTTCGAATGCTGTAGATTTATCATTTTTAAACTGGATGAATGTACGTGTGAGAGGAAGTTTACATGATTGCCATTTGTGTTCTAATATCATTTGTTCTTTGTAAGAGATATGATAGAAAATATTAGCAACTTTGGCAATAATATCACCAGAGAGACCAGGAAGAGATTCACCTCGATGTAGTTCAATACAATTGCGAAGATAGGATTCGATCATTTGGGGATATTTTTCACGTAAGAGACGAAGTTGTTCTATTGTATTTTCCTTTGTTTGTTGTTCAATTGTATCTAATCTTCGTCTCATTGTCTCATCAGAGAATTTCTGAACAAGAAGTTGTTGTTCCTGGCAAGTATTACTAAGTATTTGAACTCTTGTTTCATAATCATCTGTTAGATTAGCTTCGTATTGAGCTAGTCGATATTGAAGACGAAATAGTACGGATTCGAGTTCTCTATAAGTCATTCCATTAAGATAATTTTCATTTTCACTACAGCTAGTAATAATTTCATCGATAGCTTTTAATATTTGTGCAAAATCTTCTTGTAAACAAATTTGATCTAATGTTGAAAATTTATCATTCAATCCATGTCGAAGACGAGTTAAATTAGTTGTTATCAGTTTCAAATGATCTTGAAACACTTTTACTTCATTTACTCGTTGAATAATATCATCGATTGCAGTTGATATGGATACAATGGATGCCATTTAAATTTGTTAAATAGTTTTTCCTACAAGTAAACAGAAGACTATGAACAAGGGTTGAAATACTTAATATAATAGTATGATGCATAATTGTTTTATGTTTACTAGTGATATTTTCTGTAATTTTTATTCTAGATAAAAATTTCTCTTTGATGAAGTAGAATTCTTCTTCATTGGAGTATCTTTGACAAGGAAAGCAATAGTAGAAGTTATTTTCATAGAAAATAAGCTACTTGTTCTTTACTGCATTCATGAAAATGAATACAGATTACGAATAAATTATAATCAAGGCTGAAATAGATGATACTATTGAGTACAGATCAAGTGTACAAGTATGAGTACACATGGATAATGTATTGACATAATCTTTAATGAATAGATTTATTCCTCTATTTGAGTTCAGTAGGAATGTATTCAATAACAGGATTTGGAAATATTTGATTAGAATTAATTCGTTAATGTTTCCATATCAACTCATTCAATTACAAAGAAAAATTTTCATCTTCGGATATGGATTCAAGGTCATATTATATATAATGATTAGATTGCGAAACTTGTACAATTATTCAATCTAAGTTTCAATACATTTTCTCAGAAACGTCACAAGCAAGTTGCATTTACTTAAATATGACGAGATCTGCTTTTGTTCACATGTTCACTTTTTGTAAACACACTGCTTTTAAAAAATAAGCAAAGAAAAATCTGTTAATAGAACAATCATTTTAAATATGTACGATAATTGTAGGGAATAGTCGAGAAAATGAAAAATGAAAAAGATTTTCTTTTTTGAAGATTTGTTATTGCATCATTACTCCATGCAACTAGAAGCAACAGCATATGGATGACTTTATGTTTTGTATAAAGAATAAATCTTATTCGAAAAGAGAACAGAAAGAAGAATTGCTTTGTTTTTTTTTCATTCTGTTAGTGTCATGAATGATGAATAGATTTCTTGTTGTAAACATAACAGCTTACTATTTTGACAACACATGTTCTTCCAAAGTAAAATTTGAGGGCAAATTTTGAGAATATGAATGATTTAGAATACAGTAAGTAAATTACAATGGAATTTATGGAGATTAAAACAATATCTTTTTTTTCAACAATCAAGATTGGTGACATAAACATTTATAACCAAAACACATTATTTTCTTTTTCAAAATGATCGAGAAAATTCATATATATCAAATTTGTATATAATAAATTAATGAAAAAAATTCAAGAATAAATAACACAAACTTTAGATGACAGTATAGAGTTTGAAAAGAGCACCATAAATTATATTGAATGAATTGTATGGTTGTCGTGTAAAAGTTGTTTTTCATACAGTGATGCCTTTAAGCAATCGACATCGACGCGGGAGGTGTCTCGTTTTTATTGACAAAGAGAGAATATCTTTCTTCTAACAGAATGCAAAAAAAAATTTCGATTCTACTTGGAAGAAACGAAAATTTTCCAAGTTTGGTGAATGTTACGATCTCGACATTCCACTTCAATCAGACCACTGTTGCTTTGATGAATTTTTATTTGGTAATAAAATTAGTTCATTTTATCTTCAAATCTTTTAATTATTTAACTTTTCGTCTACAGCTTATGTTGCAAAACTACGAAAAAAACCTAGTGGTTCATGAAAATTCTACAAATTTCATGGTTTACGTTTTCAAGACTGTAAGACTCTTGATCCGAGAAAGTCTTGTAAGAAAATTCATGTATAATACCTACTGTATCTTGTCTTTCTGATATATGAATAAAGTTTGTTAATATAATTATTAATATGTTTTCGGTTTTTAAATAAATGAAAACAAATACTTCGTCACAACTAAAGATAAAATAATAAGAGTATTAATAATAAAAACATCGAAAAATATGAAAAGATTCAATAATAAAGAGAGCAGAACGATTATCATCATAGAATGACAATCCTCGACGCTAACAAAGATATCTTAACATTACTATCTATTTTCTAAGGAAATCAGTACACTTTGATAGTCACATTCTTTTCTTTCGAATGTTATTATTCTTAACAATAGAATTGTTGCTTGTTATTTTCAACAAATTAACTATGATCAATGAGAACATATTTTATTTATTCTTGAACTTTTTCCAATATTTTATATGCTACAATTGATTACCTCGACGTCTATCTTTTTTTTGACTTACTTTTCTTTAATATTGAAATTAATGACGTGTCCAAAGCTTCATTTGACAGAGAGATTAGCAGTCAGGAAAGTTTTGTCTGATGAACAGATTGTATTCGAACAGTCTATATCTGAAAAAAGTAACATCAAATTTCTGCTCTCTGATGTTGTGATCTTTCACTAACATTCTGTGGTGTGCTTCGCAAAATTATGTGCATTTTTAGACACATTATATATACTGACTACTTTATTTCTTTTCTGTCTGTGTGTCGCATTGTATTGCTTGTTCTGAATACTTATCATCAAAACAAAAAGAATTTCAAGTATGACATGTAGTGCATGATAAATATTTACTTTTAGTTTTTTTTTTGTTTTCGAAATTGGAAAAAACCTTTATGGCTTCTTTTAGTGTTGACATGATAAACAACGCAACATGTAATATTATTTCATTGCATACAGATGTAATAAGACAGTGACTATAAGAACTGGAACGAATGAGCATAGATACATCAGGAGAAGAACGATAAGCAACGAAAAGTGAAACGGGCAAAAAAGGACAAGGTTAATCTGAACTCTATTAAACAAATTAATAATGACTATTATATTTAAGCCCCCCCCCCCTTAGAAAATCCAATTTTTCAAAAAAATATCGAAGTTGAGTATTTATCATAGAAAGGGTGTGGGTGGATATGGATGTGGATGAGCATGAGTCTTCTCTACACTCACACCCCACACCTGCGCACCCACGCCGACACCCACATCCAACTCCACGGGGTTTCAGAATATGTTATTACTTTTTCAAAAGTATTCTTTTATAGTGACAATATATCTGAAATAGCGACTGCAATTATCTCTCCCCCCCCCCCCCCCCCCGTATATATCGTAAAAAAATCAGTTACAAGATTTTTCCTACTAATTTCAAATTAAAACATGAACTTTCAGATCTTTTGTTCTTTTCTATGTATTAGAGTATCTAATCAGATTTTAATTTAAAATCTATTAGAAAAGGTGACATAAGAGAAATGATTACGAAATTGAAGAAATTTATGTGGAACAAATGCCGTATTACACAGATAAAATTGATAGTAAGGAATGAATTGTGAACAAATGGATGAAATAGAAATAGATACTGTAGCAGAACGATTTGATTGACGAGGAATACATAATGAATTTGATAGAGTGACTGGAATTAATTCAGTTTGCACATTCTGATTAATTTTCATTTTGTATTGACGGTTGTTCAAGTCAATAGAAACTATTTGTTTACGAATATTAAATTTAAGATTGTATAGAGTTATATAATCCATTCCTAATATTACATCAGTACATAGATTTTGAGCTACATGAGCAGATATTTTAGTTATTTGATTAGAAAACAATATTTGTAATTCAACTACACCTAGAACATGAAATGGAGCTATACCATCAGCAAGAACAAAAGAAGAGGAATGTTTATTCAGATGTATACATTGTTTAGTAGAATGTAATGTCTGATAATTGATGAATGTATTAGTGGCTCGGGTATCGATCAACATTTGCATATTATAATTGTTGACTAAAGTATTTATAAAGATTAAAGATAGATCGGATGGGTTTTTTGTTGTTTTTCCGGAGTCAACACCATCTTGCGATGACTCCGGAACTAAAAACGAGGACAGGCAGATGCCTGATGTCCCGTCTGGAGACATTGTGTACAGGAATCAGAATCTATTAATAGTGGTGTAGGTTGAGAAGATGAAGGAATCTGAGCAGCGGTTATGTTATTAACTTGATGTGTCTGATTATTATTTCGATTAGTATTATCAGTATTATTATTATGTTAATATGATGATTTGGTTTGATTATTTGATGGAACCGGACGAAAATTATAATTTGTACGTTGAATGTTTGAATGAGATTGTTGATTAGATTTTGTTGGTCGATCAGATGGATATGATGAATTATTTCGTCGAAAAGACGAGCTGAATGAATTAAACGATCGAGATGAATTAAATGGTTGAGAAGGATGGAAATTATAATCATTATTTCGATTGAGGTTAAATTTATGACTATTATAGTGACTATTATAATTTATTTTTCTATCATAGATAGGAAGAGTAGTATCAATATGTGGATTTGATGTATTTGATGGTGTTAATGTTACAGTCGATGGTGTTTGGCTAGGTGAATTAAACTTATTACGATCATATGTATCAACATCAATATCAATATTAGATAGTTGAAGAAGCTCCTCTGATTCCTTAGCATATTCAAGAAATTGCTTAGTACTTGTTGGTTTTTTCTTTCTGATTTCGTACTGAAGCGTAGGTTTGGCCTTTTTAAGAAGATGTCGAAGTTTCATTGATTCACTCATTTCGGGATCTGTTTCGTTACATAATGTTAAAACTTTATTATAGAAACTTCTCGCAGGTTGATTGATACCCTGTGTATACGCTTCAAGTTCCTTAAAAGCTAATTCATCATGGAAGGGGAAGAGAAATGCTTCCTTCAATTCCTTTACAAATGTTGGCTACGATGTTAATGTAGCTTTGGTATTCTTGTACCACCGACGAGCTTCTCCTCGTAAGGAATATGGAATTAAGTCTAATTTATGACTATCGGGTATTTGAGCAGTATCGAATAGTTGTTCGATGTCCTCTAGCCATAACTTTACATCTTCTTTTCCTGCTTGGAATGTTTTAGGATTTTTAATTAAATTATCAATAATTGCTTTATGAATTACATATGTTGTTTGATCAAGGTTAGAAGTATTGTGGGAGATGTTAGAAGTAGGTGTAATGGTTGATCGATTTCCGGATTCATCACCAGATAATGTGGTGGCTCCAATATCACCAATTGCAGTTGATCTTAATATAGGACGTGGGGGTAAATTATCAGTTAGATCAAAATTATTCGTGGTAGTTTTTTGTTGATCTTCAAAAGATATATTTTTATGTGTGATTGAATTATGTGAAAAATTATTTTGATTTGATGGATATGATGATGGATTAGACTGAAAACTACGTGTATTATGTTCAACTACATCATAATTAGTTAAAAGAAATTCATAGAAATCGTCGAAAGACTTTATATTATTTCTATTTCGAATATTTTTTTTTTGCATCCCCTTCAACAAGTAAAGGTATAGCAATGTAACGAAGACTACGTGAAATTTTATGTAAATTAAATTTTTTATCGGTGATATCTAACCAATCAGATACCTCTTCTGATCCTGAGAACGGCTTAAAATTATTAAGAATAAATGAATCAAATTCAACTTCATCCTCGTTATTACCGTTATTTGAGTTAAGGTCAGAGGCCTTTTTTGCTTCAACATGTGTAGGTTGATGAGAAAGAGGTATAATAGACTGTCGACGTTTTTTGTCGATTCCAATATTATCAAAAGTTTGATTACCTTCTGTTGATTCGATTATGGAATCCTCATTAATTTTTTCAGAACGTATGGGGTCATTTTTCGATTCCGAATCAGACATACTTTATAACTTTGTTTAAATTAATAACTGTGGGATATACAAATAAGCTACGTAAAGGAGAACGAAAAAAAAAGAAGTGAAAAAGTTAGCGGCAACTATGTAATATCTGTTGACGCTAACAAAATCTATCAAAATCGATAAAGAATCTTTTAATTAGATTGGATTAGATTAAAATTTTAATCGATTAGCAAAATTATAATTGATTTTAAATTAAAATCTGATTAATATTTCAAGAATTAATTATAATCGAAAAAATGAATTCTTTTTCGAATTAATTATAATATTCTGATCGATTTTGTTTTGATTATCAGTCAAGAAACTATGTTTTCTCGGACAAATTGGATTAATAAGGTAATAATCAAAAAAAATCTTGATGTTTACTTCAATATTTGTCACCGGGATAAGATGGTATATGCACATATGTTACTTAACAAATTCGTTTTCGGCTTTTTTATTTTATTTCTTTGTTATTTCTCTTCTCATATTATATTTATTCAAAATATATCTATTTCCTCGCAGTCAAATATTTTTCTTTCTTTTCTTTGTCGATTTCGTATTATTCTTGAAGAAAGATTAGAGTATATCTAATAAAGTGATTAATGAAAGTATAGTGCGAAGAAAGATGAGCACGAAAGTTATACAAGATAGAATAGAGAATCAACGTATAGATAATTTATATTGGATGAATAGCAAATGTTTATTTAGATTTCATGAAAAAAAAAGTAATGAAAAAGACAAAAAATTGTGATAACATTTTAGATGTTATTTTGACAAAAAAATGATTTAATTTGAAAAGCAAAACAAATGTTTTTTGTTTTCAAGCATTCAATTCATGTAAATGATTCAATTTAAAACAAAAAAGACTTTTAAAATATATTCATGCAAAAATGTTTCAATTTTAAAAACCAGTGTCTTTTTATTTTTGATGATACCAGTTTTATTAATTGCCAGGATAAATACGACACAATTGTTCATTCGCATCAGTTGTATAGGTAGAACCATATGCCCCCATTGATGACGTTGCAGTCGAATCTGCTGGTGCGGGTGCCGTTGGTGGTTGAGCAGGTGGCGAGGACTCTTTCGGCTGCTGATATTGTAATTGCTTGGAATCAACTCCACTGTCACCGCTGGCACAGCTTCCCTCTGACAACGTTAAATCCGACGCAGATGATGATGATGACGACATGATACCTGAAATTGTAAGATACCTTCGACTGTTAACAAAGGAAATGTATTGAACGCATGGAAAAGACTCTTCCCTTTTTGCTTTATTTTTAATGAAAAAGATTGAACAAGTTCATATGAGGGTGAGTATAATGGAAAAAGAACACGAGACAATAGAAATTTCATATTAATAATATCGATTTTAGTATATCTGTTTTTTACTTAAGGAGACAAGAATTTATAAAAGCAAGCTTTCTAACGTGAGAAAGCACACATTTTAGTCTAATAAAAAATATGTTTTTGAAAACACATGTGTTCCAAACAGTTGATATTCACAAAAGAGGTGTTTTCAAAAAAGTATTTAATACATCGAAAGGTACACTTTTATGCATAAAGATGTCGTTTTTTGGGTGTGGGTGCTCTCTAAAAAAAATCCGTTTCCTAGAAAACCCAAACGACTTCGGATACGCTTCCGGAAACCCTTTAGAGTTTCCAAAAGGGTTTCCGGCCTCCACTATGGGTTTCAGGAATATCCTCTTGGTTTCCGAATGTTCGAAAACCAAAGAGTTTTCGAGAATGCCGATTCGGATACCCTAAAAGTATCCTCGGATTCTCTGATGGTATTGAGGGAAACCGTAAAGGTATATTAGGAAACCTATATTACTAGCAAAATCGATTTTCTACCCCAAGGGGTATCCGACAATACCATTTCGGTTTTCGAAGTATTTCATCGGAAACCGGAAGGGTTTTTGAAGCTTCCAAATCTCAAAAAAGTATAACGGGAAACGTAAATAGGTTTCCGAAGAATTTCATCGAAAACTGAAAAGGTTTGCGAAACTTCCAAAACTCAAAAAAGTATAATGGAAAACCTAAATAGGTTTCCGAATGTTTTTGAAGCCTTCGAAGACTTCCGAAGTTTCGAAAGCAGTCGAAAACTGCTTCCCTTAAGTGATGTCAGAGCCTTACAACTATTTGAAAGAAACTTGGTGGGGATCCGAATTTCGATCTTCATTTTTTTTTCGTTTTAACGGTTATTAGGACGCTTGAAGCGACTATGTGTTTATCACAAGGCATTTGCTTATCAATGATTGCTTCTTGACATCAACATATTTTTATACATATTCATTTCATTCTCTCAAAATAATCAAACATCATTTTTACATTGTCAATTCAAGTGTGGCTACTGGTATAGGACGAAAAACATAGTCTTGACAAAACTAAAACCATTGAATAACAACATTAACTCTAATATGTGTCTTTTCTCTTTGCTGTTTTGATAAAATTCTAATAAAAACGCCGACTAAGTTTAGGAATTGGAATCCACAAAAGGTGAGAGAGAGTAAGAACACTAGAAATATTTGTCATTGTAAAGTTATTCTAACTGACTAATCTACAAGAAGATAGTATCGATGGACTTCAAATCATTCAAAAAAATTAGTTTTAAGCGAAAACGAGGTGATGATATCATTGTCATCCACATGTGATTGCAACAATTTTGTCCACATATTTGTCAAGAGAACAATGAATCATCATTCTATGATATCTGCCTTTCTTTTTTTCCAGTGTTTTCTCTGCTTACGTGGTATAATCTAATAAAAATGAAAGTTTAAGCCTCTAATGTATAGATTCGTAACAGTGCATTTGTGTTGTAATATTGTTTACTTTATATTGAATTGATTGTGTCGTCTTCACATTTCGGTTGGCTGAAAGTTATCCAAGTTTGAGATAATAATTGTTTATTTCGTCTCATTTAATAACAATTTTCATTAAAAACAAAAAAAATTAATATAAGCGATTATTTGTATTTTCTCTGATGTTGTCTATAACATTTCGTTTATATAACAGTTTCTTGTTAGAATTATCGACTATTCTTTAGGTTTTCGAAAAGAAGCTCAAGACAATTTTCTTATTCATATGGTACTGAATCAAGAGATTAAGTAATGATAACTATTGGTCACGATAAAAAATGCACAAACAAGTTAACAAGCACAAACTGTTTCTAGGTGCACTCTTGCATAGTCATCATAGAATGGACAAAAAAGAAATATCAAATCTCAAATGCTCGTGATTATTAAATGTACCTATCTGAATGCTCTCAGAATACATTGATATCAACCAAAGTTTAAATGAAAGTTAAAAGTAAAGTTTGAGGATGTTTACTCATCTACTTCAATGTTTAGTTGTAATGTTAAATTTCGAACACCTCACTTCGTTTAAGTTCACAAACATCTGATTTTTAAAATATACTAGCCTTGAAAATACAGATAATAAGGAAAACAGTCAATATGAAAAAGATTGCTTTGAAAGAAACCTAGACGTTTTTTACATGATTAACCAGGGCAGAGGGTATCAGTCAAAAGTACGGGTTGGGACGGGTCCAGAAAAATAACGTTTGGTGACACGAGCGAAGCTGATTGAAAATAGATCAAAACATGTTCACATGATTTCCTAATAACCCTGTTCATCTTTTAGTTTGTGCATACGGCGTTCAAACCACTTTCATATCATTCAAACACGCTATAAGGAAACGTTTTGAATGCTGTTCGACAATAAAATTGATTTTTCTGAATCTCTAAGACTTTTGATGTTATATATATAAAATAATACATATGTACCTCAAAGATGGAAGATTTAAAATAGTTTGAATGCTTTTTTTTATAGATGAATACTAATGATCCATTCACGTGGGAAATAGATGATGTTGCGACTTGGCTACGTACTTTCATTTCAAATGATGAATTAATTAAAGAATTTCAAAGTGAGTCCTATAAAATATGTAATGGATCTCTTTTTCAGGTTGATTTATAAATATTCTTTCATCTTATCATCCTTTCTCTCTTCCACCTATCATAGTTTAGATGTTTTTTACTAGGTACTATCTCCTAGGAAACTAGCGTTGTATAAGCTGACTTACACCTTTAATCTAGAAGTTTGTTTGATTTTGTATACGGCGTATTAGGTGATACTTAGTTAAATGATTTTGTTTCTTTATTGTAAGATTAAGTAACTCAATCACTCAGTGATGTCCACTAGAGTCTTTTTGTGCAAAATTTGCATTACCAATCGATCATTTAATGAATTTTGTGATTATTTTCGTCATGTTACATTGTATCATGCCAATGAACCTAATTTTCGATTAACATGTGATATATCAGACTCTTGTGGTGCTATGTATAAAACATTTACGTCATACAAAAAGCACATTCATCGGCATCATGAAAATTTACTTCATCCAGTATGTCAACAACAAGAAAATACCGTTATTAATGATATGAATACATTAGCAATTGAGCAACCTGATGCAACAGTTATATATCTAGATACAGCTGATAATAATCATGACAATGTTATATATGCAGATTTTGATGACGATCTTGATAATCAATGGAACACTCTAACAACAAATATTTCTAGTAAAGATGAAAAAATAAATCTTCTTACAGTTCAACAACAATTCATCCGATTTTTACTAGAAATGAGAGAAAAACACATTTTGCCTCAAACAGTGATCCAATCCATTACAACACATATAATCAATTTACTAGATAGCGTAGTTGAGCTTGTAGAAGAACAAGCAAAACAAGAAAATATGACTCAACAACAATCAACAACAACTATTTCTGTTGATGGAATGCGCAAAACAGTAAAGCAGATAGAACAATCAATTATTCTCTCAACTCGAAATGAATATCAATTTATACAATCTTGTCAAAAGTTTTTCAATTATTCACCACCTATAGAAAATGTTTTATCATCAAATCATTTGAAAAAAGAATATTCATATCATATACCTATACGAAACACTTTAGAGAAAATTTTACAAAAAGATGAAATGATACCACTTCTAATTGATAATATTCAACATCAAACTTCAATAACACATAATGATCCATATTTAATGTTTCCAAGACGGGACGGTGTTAAAGGTAAAATATTTAAAAATCAATCATTTTTAATTCAATTATATGTCGATGGCATCGGTGTCACAAATCCGATAGGTCCGAAGAAGGACCAACACAAATTGACACTTGTATACTTCATGTTAGAAGATATACCAAATATCTTTCGATCTACGTTACAATGTATTAATCTTGCAGCTATTTGTTACACAAAAAACCTGAATAATGATGAAAAACTTAGAAAATTTTATGATCCGATTGTAAATGATTTGAATGATTTGCAATCTACTGGTTTAATATTTGATACATTTAACAGTCAATTACATTTTACATTTACGACAATTGCTGCTGATAATTTAGCAGCACATGAAATCGCTGGTATGCAACAAACATTCAGTTCCGGATATTTTTGTAGGAGATGTTTAATAACCTATGAAAATCGACTTATACCATTAACCGATATTCACTTCATTCAACGAACACATCTTCAACATACAAAATGTTTACAATTACTTGAAAATAATCCACACATGAAATCAATGTATGGTGTTATTGGTCCAAGTCCACTTGATAATTTAATAAATTTTGACACAACTGCTTCTCTTCCGGGAGATGTGATGCACGATTATTTCGAAGGTAACTATTCATAAGATAAAATTTTGCTTGTAGATTGATTTTTTTTCTTTTTTGTTAGGTGTATGTCCGATCATTATCATGGCGATGTTAAAGGAAGCATCAAATTTAAAGCTGATTACTTTTGCTGCTATTCAGGAGAGAATAGAAAATTTTTCTTATGGTGAATTAGATGCATCGAATAAACCTCTTTCTATACAAGTTAAACATCTAAACAATGATCGTATTACTGGAAGTGCAGCTCAAAAATTCTGTCTGTTTCGATTGTTCCCAATCATCTTTTCTGATATGATCGAGCATTTAAAATCATTTAAAATTTACCTCATTTTGCGTGAAATGTTGGATATAATATTAGCTTTGCCTCAACGAAAAAGTTGGCTTCCTTATCTTGAAACATTATCAATAAATTTTCAGTGTATGATGTTAGAGCTTTTGCCAGATAAAGCAACACCGAAGGTACATTATACTACTGAGTATACAAAAATAATTGAGGAAAATGGTCCACCACTAAGGTATTGGTGTATGAGATATGAGGGTGCTCATTTGTATTTCAAAAAAATTGCTATGCAATCTTATAATTTCAAGAATATCCCGAAAACATTAGCTCAAAGACAACAACTTCGACAATGCTTTTTATTGTCCAACTGTCAATTCTTGAAAGCATTTGAAGAAGCTAGTGGTAATAAAATAATTCATATGTATGAAATAGATTCAAAAATCAAGGTTCTTCTCACTCGTCGATATGGACAACAATTTATTCAATCACAAACATTGTTTCAATGTTCGCAACTGATTCATAATCATGTTATTTACAAACAACATGCCGTTTATGTTTATGATTTAGAACATGTAGAAGAAATTCCATTATTTTTTCAAATAGTTCATATATTAAAGTTAAATCTAGAATGGATATTCGTTGTAGATCTTCTGAATACTGATGGATTTAGTACTAAACTATGGAGCTACAGAGTTAGCTCATATGATCGACTTGACATAGTTTCACCAAATAATTTAAAATATTATCACAAAGGACTTGACTTATATAAAGTAGATCATTTTCATGTTGTTAATCTAACATCAAGACTAACAAAAGCAAATTGACATTTCTAGGATATAAAGCATACTGCTTTTTTTTTCTTTTTTAATCTAATTCTGTGATTTAAGATCTAAACTTTCACAATTTGAGAGTTGTCGAACCAGAACCTTCTTTTTATTTTTATTGTTTTTTGTTGTAGAGGAAGAAGTTGATGGTGAAACATTGTTCTATATGAACGATTTGAATCTATTGAAACCATTCAAATTGTCGTACAAAAATCAAATTATATTTTTGAAAGAAAGAGAAAAGTTGTTTTCGTCGAAAACAAACGAAAAACCAACATCATCATCAACACCAAATGATACAGCATTATTAATTATAGATGAAAATCAATCAGCAGAAGCATCAATAAATGTATCATCTATCGAAACTATTATTACAACTGAAAATTTAACAGAAAAATCTCTTCCAGATCCTTATTTATTACCAGTGTTACCGAGTCAAGTCAACGATGCAATTAATCTTAAACAAATGGAAAAATTTGAAAAACTTTGCAACTTTCGTTCAATTATTATAGATGCTGTTTTTCATGATTTGAAAACAAATTATGGTTGATGTAAGTATAATATTTTATTGTCTTATTTATGTTCTTTTTTTATTTATTGGGGAGTTTTCTATAAATCTAGAGACGAGTCATTATGTTAAAATAACAAAACCCAATAGACTGTATAGGAAAATATAAAGAAGATTTTAACATATTAAATACATTTGTTTCTTATTAAGTTTTAAACTTTTAAAATTGGAATGTTAATAAATGAATTCATCTACATATTTTTTTTCTACATAGATATCCGACACAAGAACAATATACAACAATTGTTAATAGAATACTTAATCATTTGAAGATTGAACGTGATCCAAAAACATCTGTAAGTAAATCTGAAAAATAATCCTATCAATATTATAATCATTGATATTTTAGAATTCATGGCGAGAATCTCTCATTTCCAAATACAAACGAGAGAGACAAAATTTCGATGAAGAAAAAACAATCGAAATGAAGCTTAGATATTCAAGAGAAAAGTCCGGAAGAAAAATCAAAAAATATTCAACAACACAATTATCAGAAAGAAACACATCAAAAAAAGTAAGTTACACTAAAAACAGCCAAAAGGATATGTATGTTTTTATTTTCCTAGACATCAATCATTCAAGATACACCTAATGAAATACAACAAATGGAAGAAAAAGCTGAAACACTTAAAACAAATTTTCAAAATAAATCAATTGATGATCAACATTATCAACGGTTGTGGCTTGAAACTTTTGATTATCGACAAAATTTTATCAAGGAAAACACAACTGCAGATATTATGGAACGTTTTCCTGTTTATTCAAATCCATCTATGGTAAAAAAATTGCAAGACTTTCGGTATCACATTTTCATTTTAGATATTGACAGATGTTAAATTATTAATAGGTGTAGATTTGGATCATTCTGTTAAAGAAAAAATGAATTTGCTTTCTAATAAAATTTGTTCTAATGATAAATTTTTAACAGGTAGGAAAAAAGTTTATAGTATACCAAACAGTAATCTTGTTTATTAGATGATCCAATTGTTCGTTGTTTTAAAGTATTATGTAGTATACTAAACGACTCATGGAAACATTACATTTGCTTTTATCCTGCTGTAAGTTATCTGAAAATTTTTTTAAATTCTCTGAAATATCGCAAACATGAAAAGAATAGAAGAAGTTAGTTATATTTGGTCTTGTGTTCTAGTCAGCTAGGTAGTCTTCTTAGCTTGATTGAGAGACATCGCTTATTACTTTAGTTTTTCTTTATTTCTGACTACTACAGACTTTCTATCAATGTTATGGTTCTTTGCTTTAAACTTTCTTAAACATGCGGATATTAGCGGGCCATAAATGTTATTCTATCAATCGGATATTTTAAAGTATCATGCACAATATAGATGCTTCTATAAAATTGATTTTCTATCAGAAACTTTGACACATGAAAAATTCCCTCTGTTTGACTTCGGCATAATCTCTTATTACACAATAAAGAGAAGTTCTTATTACATTCCTTTTCTCTGAAACTTATGCTTTTTAATTTACCTCGATTGATCTTCTGATTCTTTTTAGAAACCAGTTACTCCTCAACCAACAATGGTAATTGAGGAAAACGATATTAAAATCTACGTGGATTGGACCTTCATTTGCTCATCGAATTCTATGGAACAATCTTTGGCTTTAGTTGTTGGTTTATATTGTTTGATGAATCTTACGTTTCCAACGTATCGTACTGTTGTTAGATTTTTATATGTTTATTTCATGAATGATAAGCAACAACAATCAAATGTCATTCGAAAATTTTGTAAAGTATACAACATTCAACTTCAAGATAATCCTTCATCATCAAATGCTGCATTACTGGAAGAAACAAAAATTAATGATACGTATTTAAATGATAGACGTGAAAACAATGAAGAACAAAATATATCTTTTGAACTTCAAACGACAACATCAATTCAACCAACATCGATGGAATCAACATCACATGAATCAACATCAATTGATTCAATATCAACTGAGTCAATATCAACAGAATCAATATCAATGGAACCAATATCAATAGAATCAACGTCAACAGAATCAACATCAATGGAACCAATACCAACTGAACCAAAACGAATTGAACCAACAACATGTAAAAAACCAATAGCATTTCAACAACAATCAAATCGTAAACGCAAAGCAGAAGAAAAACATGATTATGAGCAACTGTCTCTGGAGATTGATGCATCGAAACAAAAAATAACGAGAAATCTCCGACCAAAACGACACAGACAATAAGGACACATTCACAATGGCAACAAAAACTGTTTTATATGTCTCACTATTTCTTCTCTCATCATAAAAGAACTAGCGTTTTTTGTTTTTCTTATAAGAGAAGGAATTCATTTATTCGTTCGTCGGCTTTTTTAAAGTATTACTTTCTCGAGACAATTCGTCAAATGAGAGACATATAAGCCATCGAAATTTATTCTCTTTCGTATTGCTCAACATTTTCTAAAAAGATTTTTGATTGCTATAATAAATTTCCACTTCTTTGTGATAGACACTTGAAAATTTTATTGTTAGCAAACCCGAAATTTTGATAGTTAGAATAGATACTTCAAAAAATTTTCATTCAAAATTGAACATTGAAACATAAAAATAATACATGGTTCAACAAATCACGTACTTTCACACGGTGAGTGCGTTTTTTTACAGACTATCGAATATTCATTTTTTTTCTTTTAGGTTGATCAAAATCGAAGTTCAGTTGCAAATCTTTATACATTTTGATATATGTATATTTCATGCATTCTGGTGAATCACAATCGAACAATTGAACTGTAAGTATATATACAATATATAATATTTTATTTCTTTAGGTGCTCAGAGATTTAAGCCTAACCTTTTCCCGAATATTCTAGATTTAAATTCTATTTATTTAGGTGGATCCAGATCGAAGGGTAGACTTTTCTTCTCCTACTGCACTTTCATATTTTTCTATTTACGATGATCGTAATCGGACTGTAAATTTTTCTATATATTGATATACGTCTATTTTATTTGTTTTTGAGTATCCAAAAACGAGATTTAAATGTAAGTCTTTATAGATTATCGAAAATTGATATTTTATATATTTAGGTGGATCGAGATTGCGCGTTAACTTTTTCTCTATTATTGTATATTTGAATCTTTTTCTTTTTAACCCAATCTAAAGCAAAACTATATATGTTGTCGAATCCTGATTTTTTTATTTATTTAGACAGATCGGAATCTAGCTGTAAGTTTTTTTTGAGATTATCCTATATATATATATGTTGTATTTCTTTAGATGGATCAAATTTGAAATGTGAACGTAAATCTTTATACAGTTTGGTATCAATTCATTTTACGTATCTAGATGGGAACCTAAATCCAAACTAAACTGTAAGTTTTTTCTTTAGATTTCGGTATATTGATGTAGTTTTTATTTAGATCGATCGAATTCGAAATGTACATGTAAATCTTTAAACAATTTGGTACATGTCCATTTGCTTATTGACATGGATCGACATCGAAGGGCAAGTTCTTTTTCTGATTATCGTATGTTTCAATTTTATTTAATTAGGCGGATTCAGATTGAACTTTAATTTTTTTTCTGTTATTGTACATTTCGATCTTTTTTTTTAAGCCCGATATAAATTGAAATTGAATTCAAAGTATATATAGGTCGTCGAATATTGACGTTTTCGACAGACCAGAATCAAGCTGTAAGTTTTTTTTTTTGAGATTATCCTATATATATATACATGGCATTTCTTTAGATGGGTCGAATTCGAAATGTACATGTAAATCGTTAAACAATTTGATACATGTGTATGTGCTTATTTACGTGGATCGATATTAAAGGGTAAGTTTTTTTCCGATTATCGTTTCTTTCAATTTTATTCATTTACGTGGATTTAGATTGTACTACCATTTTTTTTTCTTGTTATTGTATATTTGAGTCTTTTTATTTTTAACCCGGTATAAATTGAAATTGAATTGTAAGTCTATACAGATTGTCCAATATTGATGTTTTATTTATTTAGGTGGATCAAAATCGAACTGTAAGTTTTTTTTGAGACTATTAGATATATATATATTGTATTTCTTTACATAGGCCGAGTTCGAAATGCAAATGTAAATCTTTATACAGTTTGACATCGACTATTTTACTTATCTAGATGTGAACCTAAATCCGAACTAAACTGTAAGTTTTTTTTAGATTTTGAAATATTGATATAGTTTTTTATTTAGATCGGTCGAATTCAAAATGTCAATATAAATCTATAAACAATTTGGTACATATGTATTTGCTTATTGATATGGATCTACATTGAAACGTAGGTTCTTTCTGTGGTTATCGTATATTTCAATTTTATTTATTTAGATGGATCGAGTATGCACTTTCATTTTTCCTATTACTATGTATAGGAGCATTTTTTATTTAGCTTGATATAAATTGAAATTGATTATAAGTCTATACAGGTTGTCCAATATTGACGTTTTATTTATTTAGGTGGATCAGAATCGAACTGTAATTTTTTTTTTGAGACTCTTAGATATATATATATATATTGTATTTCTTTACATAGGCCGAGTTCGAAATGCAAATGTAAATCTTTATACAGTTTGGTATCAATCCATTTTACTTATGTAGATGAAGCTAAATCCGAACTAAACTGTAAGTTTTTTTTAGATTTTGAAATATTGATATAGTTTTTACTTAGATCAGTCGAATTCAAAACGTCAATATAAATCTTTAAATAATTTGGTATATGTCTATTTGCTTATTGATATGGATCGACATTGAAGAGCAAGTTCTTTTTTCTGATTATCATATGTTTAAATTTTATTTATTTAGGTGAATCCAAAACAAGAGAGAACTATAGGTCTTTATATATCATCGAAAATTGCTATTGTATATGTCGGTAGTTTAAGATTTCACTTTAATTTTTTTCTATTCTTGTATGTTTGAATTTTTTTATTTAGCCGATCTAAATTGAAATTAAATTGTGAGTCGATATAGGTTGTCGAATATTGATGTTTTTCTTTATTTAGGTGGATCGAAATGATAAAGCTGTAAGGTTGTTTTTTTGAGATTATTTTATCTATGTTGTATGTCTTTAGATGGGTTATGTGTATTTTACTTATTAACGTGGATCGAGATTGATAGGTACGTTTTTCTTCAATTATCATACAATTACTTTTTTCCGTATTTAGATTGATCGAGATTCAACTGTGAATCTTTATATGTATTGGTACACGTCTATCTTGTTTATTTAGGTATACGTAAAGTAAGATGGAACTGTAAGTTTTTATAGATTATCGAATATTGATATTTTATTTATTTTGGTACATGGAAATCTACAATGAACTGTATCATTATGTATTTTGTTCATGTGTATTTTATTTACTTAGATGGGTCGAATTCCAAAACGTAATTGTAAGTCTTTATGAATTAATCGAACATTGATATTTTATTGATTTAGATGCACTGAAATCGAACCGTAATTTTTTTAGATTTTCCTATATATATATATATTATCTATTTAGATGGACCGAATTCGAAATTAAACTGTAAAACTTCATACATTTTGGTGTCTGTGTATACTCTATTAATTTAGATGGATGTGGATTGTATGGTAGGTTTTTCTCTGATTATCACGTATTCATATTTTACTTATCTAGGTAAATCAAAATCGAATTTGAACAGTAAGTTTTTATATATTTTGATATATGTGAATTGTATTGATTTAGGTAAGTCAAAAGTGCGATTGAACAGCAAGTGCTTATGAATCATCGAATATCGATATTTTATTCACTAAGGTGGATCGAGAATAAAATGTAAGTTTTTTTTCGATTATCATATATTAATATATTTTTATTTAGGTAGGTGAAACTCGTAAATGAAAGTGTAAGTAGTTTTGAGATAGTCGAATATTTTTATTTTTGTTTCTCTTAGCTTGGTGAAGATTGGAAATGAACTAAAAGTGTTTATCGATTGTTGTGTATGCAAATGTTATTAGTTTAGATTGATCAAACTGGGAATCGAAGAGTAAGTTTTTTTTTATTATGAACAATTCATATTTTATTCATTTAGGTTGATAAAAATCGATATGAAGCTGTAAATGTTTATAGATTGTCCTATACTGCAATCTTATTTAATTGGGCGAAACGTAGTTGAAGTGTAGATTTCTTTCAGGTTATAGAATATTCATAGTTTTATTTGTTTCGGTTGATCACAATGCATGTTGAACTGTAAGTTGTTTCTGTTAGAATATGGTAAATTTTTGTAGGATTCATTTAGGATAGTCGAAATTGAGAGTGTCAGAAAGATTTAGTGTGTTAATGTCTGCACGTTTTATGAGATGGGAAACCTTTTGAGTTTCCGCTTTCATTTTCATTCAGTTCGGAAACGTTTTTATGAGTTTCCGTTCTCGTTTTCATGCAGCTCGGAAACCTTTTTATGAGTTTCCGCTTTCATTTTTATTCAGCTCGGAAACCTTTTAGGGTTTCCAGTCTATAGCATCTGAAGTTCGGAAACCTTTTATGGGTTTCCGTAGGTAGCAGGTTCAAAAGCAGTTTAATTGGTTTCCGATAGGTTTCTGAAAGTTCGGAAACCGATTCTCGGATACCCTAAAAGGGTTTCAGATAGAGACATTCTCGGAAACCCTTTTTGGGTTTTCTCGAATACCTTTTTTTTTTAGAGTGCACACCCACACCCTCACAGAAACGAGATAATTTTTTTGTCTCTGACTGAATGGAACTTTTAAATTGATATTTCTATTACGAAAGTCAAAGAAAAGAAAAGAGAAAGATTGTATCAGTCAGTTCAGACAAACATCAGCTATCGATAAGATGCCAACCGGTGTTGATTTCTCACAAGACGTGAAACAAATAATGTTCAATGTAATCCAGTTTGTGAAACGTGAAAAAGGCGGTTGTTTAATTCCATTGAATAACGTAAATGATCGTATAAAATCTATGCTTGGTATTTCAATGACATCTGTTGAAAGACTGAAGAGAGAAATAAGAAAGCAAGGAAGAGAAATGTTGGAAAAAGAAAACGAACTGATTGCACTGCAGAAGAAACGGGACCAGGAAAAACAAGATAAGGAAGATGCTGCGTTTCGAGCGATACTTCGGCTTCGACATCCACGTACACGATCATTATCAATTTCTGCTGTGCCGTATACTACCACGAGAATATTCATGCTGATTGCTAAACCATCACAAAAAAGTGGTCATGTTGGTCCGTCGCCTATTGTTTTGACAGATGGTCAGAAGAAAATATTCGGTATATTTATGAGAATAGACTTATGAATACATGTATGCCGTTTATAGTTACCATGTTCATCTGTTATTGGCTGAACGAGTGTATCCGACTACATACGAAATTCTCACTCGAATTTTGGATGACGAGCCTGATTTTCTAATTCGTTCGGTATCAGTATTGTGGCGTTGGATGAAGAAATTAGGTTTTGCATATAAAAAGACATCTAAAGTTATTGTTCCTCTCGATTCTCCTTTCTATATGGCAGCTCGTGCACGTTATTTCACCAAAATCAGCGAACTGATAAAAAATGATACTCTTATATTTTGGCAAGATGAAACGTGGTGTAATCAAAATGAAGAAAAAACCTTCATATGGACTGATAGAGATACAGGAACAGGTCGTCTACGGTAGAATAGTGGCAAAGGTATGATTTCTTTCTTTAAAATGGCCTATGATTATTTTTCTCTATAGGGAAACGGCTCGCTATTTCCGCGTTGATGGACCAATCGGGTTTTCATAAATCATCCATTGACATATTTGAATGCAACGAAGAGCACATTATGAATTCAACACATTTTCTGACATGGATTGATCGTACTGCTTTTCTTCTTCGAAAGGAACTCGGTAAAATTTATCTTGTTACTATTTCCATTATTATGTTTGGGCTTAGGAAAAGATGGAAAAATTGTTCTGGTGATCGATAATGCCACATGGCATAATCGGCTTACAAATGACACGACACCACCGAAAAGATCATGGCGCAAAGAAGCCATTATGGCTCAGTATCCACTATATTGTTTTTCCTGAAAAAGCTGTCAAAGCTGAATTACTCGAGATTGCTTTAAATAACCTACCCGAAAAAAATATGAAATGGATGAAGCAGCAAAAAGATGCAATATTGGTATTTCGCGGTAATTTATTAGCTTCAAAATTTATTTTTGATTTCGAAATAAATATTTATAGCTTGCCTATGAAACATTGTTTACTTAACCAAGTGGAATTGGCATGGGCTGGCTTAAAGCGATATGTACGAGATAATAACGTCAATTTTCGTCTGAGCGACGTTCAGTAACTAGCACACAAATGGATGTTAGACTTGAAACCAACTACGGTTACTGGTTACCTCAATCATGTATACAATATTGAGGAAACATTCAAGAAATCGGACAATTTTACGGAACAACTCGAAGAAGACTTATTGGATGGTGATGATGACGAGGAATTTGATTCTGAAGCCGAAGATATGCCTGATTGATACGCAAAATTTATTTTGTTTTCATTCTTTTCCACTACCAAGTAGTACTTTAAAGATAACTATATATTCCATTAAATATGCTAAAGAAGATTTTCAAAGTATAATAGCTTTTTGTGTCATTTTAGTTTGACAGTAGGACAATCGAACTGTGATGTAACGTGAGTAGTATCAATTTTTCCCGACCAACGAAAGATTTCTTTACAAAATGGATAGTTCCATTCGATCCAGAATAATCGAAAACCTAGTTATTTCTAGATAACATAAAAAATACTGACCTTTGGAAAAATATTATTGATGTATTTTAAGCGTTTTTGATGATTATTGTAGGACCTATAACTTTTGAACGAAATTAGATAAAAAATTCGGGTTTGTGTAGAATTGTAGATCTTGAGTAGGGCTATCTAATGCACTCCATACAATTGAAATTCCATACAACTTTTATAGCACTTTCAATGCTTCTTTGAATTTCACTGACTACTCATCAAACTTATGAATTGAAATGATTACTATTTATAAAGAACGATGCAGAATCACCGCCTCTTTCTAATGGTGAAAACCGCAGATCGATAGCTATCACCGTTCAAAAGTTATTCAAAAAACAATCACTCTTCTTTTAATTTGAAATGGACATTAATTTTTGTTCTGGCTTTTTCTATCACTTTAAATTTTACAATGACCGACTTGTAATAAATATCATCAGATTTAAATATTGTAAATTCTAAGGATCGTCAGTGCATCTTGGATAGAAAAGCCGTGATTGTTTTATTTAAATTGATTATTTTCAAACTATTCCTTCGTAGAATCTTCATGAGTTCTGCGCATGAGTGTTTTGTTCTTGACACATGACTTATGCAAGCGTTCAAGCGCTTGTCTGTGGACAGAAAGTCATGCGCTATGGACACATTTTGAACTCAAGCCTTGGCAAGCGCTTGAATAAAAAAGTTCGACTAGGGATGCTTATCTCTTATTTCCAAGAATAAAAATCTCGAAATTCTCTTGAAAATCCCTTCGAAAACCCTTGAAAACTATCTGACGTATCTAAAAAACTTTTTGTACATGCAACTATTAAAAAGATAGTGGGATCGCATAGAAGCTTTCTCCAAACATTTTCAATGCTTGAACACTTTAGAAGCCTCAGCGCGAGTTCACCTTAGAAATCATAGCAGCAATATTGAGTTTCCATTTATCAAAGCATTCGAATGTGTGCTTTTCGTCTTTAAATTGATGTGGGATAAAATACCATCTGTCTGTCAGATATAAAAAAAACGAGACACCTTTACAATATTGCCTCATTTTAACAAAAGATATGATCAGACGTCTTATCTGTTATTTCATTTTCGTTCTTCTCAAGTAAATACCATTGATTTTATTTTTTATTCTTCTAGCAATTATCGGTTTTCTATTTTAGTGTTACAACCACTACTCAGCAGTTCGGTAAGTCTTACATTTACGCGTCTTAACTTCACTAAATGCTAATTTTAAATCAGATATATGTACTTACTTTGTATCTAGTTTGAATCTGCATAAGGGCGCCACATTACTAATGCTGTTAATAAGCAGAGCTGCCACCTTTTCTGCTTTTAGCAGAAAAATTCTGCTTTTTGAAGTTTTTCTGTTTTTTTCTGTCGTTTCCGCTTTTTCAAGATTTTTCTGCTTTTTTTTAATATGGCGTTATTTATTATTTCAATCAACATTTTTCACCTGAAATACTTTTGTTTCCATAATTATTTAAAAAGCAGTATCAAAAGCTACTGATATCTTTGTGCTATTCTAATTCTTTCTATTTGATAAAGATAATTTTTATTTTCTACTGACTACAAACAACTACCAACCTATATATTAGGGTTTAAATCAATTCTTTACCTATAGTTTTCTATCGTATTTTAATTACTTATGTAATTCATATATATCAATATATACATTCTTCCGTTTGTTTACTCAATGAACATGAATAATTAATATGATTAGTGAGAGGAAGGGAATAGAAAAATAGCTCTAGGTGATAATGATAGCTCGACTAGTCAAGAAGGTATTAACAAAGCAGTGGTAGTTGCTGAAGTAACAATTATGCCATCAGAAGTTAAACCAGAAAACAGAATTTGAGTAGAGTTATCTTCAACAGAGAATGGTTCAAAGTCGTCGAATAGTAATGATCTTTATAAGAATATAAATTCGATCCGTCTCAACTAACATTTATCGTTCGTCATCAATAATTTTCTGAACATTGCTAATAAAGAGCTAATACTGATATTCCTATGAATAATAAGAAACAAAAAAATTTTAAATGCTACGATTTAATCAACAATTATTTTGAATTTCTCCTTATCATATACTGTAATGAATAAATAGTTATTAGGTAAAAAAGATTTGTCAAAAGCTCTTAAATCGGATGAAGAATACTCTTTAAAAAGAAAACGTGTTCAAAGATTCTGTCTATTTGTTGATTAGTTGTGTTTTATGACGCCATACAATCCGGGTGATTAGTACACTGAAACTGAAATTTAAAACTAACAAGTAGCTCGTAATAAAAGAGGGTTTCAGTATTTTGTTAACATCTTAAGCGTTATCTTGTTGCTCACGCTTTATTTTTTTATCGAAAGATACACCGTCTCACTCTGCAGAAATTGGTATATTTCGCTGTAAAAAACACTTATCCCTCTTTCAACATCATCATGAGTTAAAATAAGCATTACACACAACTTTCAAAGTCTTAATTTTTTTAATTTTTTTCCAAAATGTCCAGTATCTCAATTAATTCTATTAGTTGGGGTATAGTTTGTTTGCCACTCAAGAGATACATTGGTTCATTTCAATCAACGTGCCAAAGGCAATTTATTTTATTTCTGCATAAAGAATATGGCACGACCAATGATAATAAGAGTAATCTAAGGATTTGATGTTTTCGGAAAAAATTGGAAAAAATAGAGATTTTGAAAGTTGTGTGTAGTGCTGTTTTTTAAATCGTGATGATGTCGAAAGAGAGATAAGTGTTTTTTACAGCAAAATATACCAATTTGTGCAGAGTGAGACGGTGTATCTTATGATAAAAAAATAAAGCGTGAACGATAAGATAACGCTTAAGATGTTAACAAAATACTGAGACCCTCTTTATTACGAGCTATCCGTTAGTTTCATACCACAAACATACTTTCTGCTGTCTTTCTGCTTTTCTATGATAAAACTTCTGTTATTTTCTGCTTTTTGCAAAGTATTTTCTGCTTTTCGGACTTCAAAAGGTGGCAACACTGATATTTACGAAGACAAGATTAGTTTAAAGTTTAATATTTGTTGTCCTCTTCTAAATTATCCAATCGTGGTAATTTAACGTCTTCTGTACTCTATTACACTGATTAAAATCAAGAAGAAAATTGATAGTAATTACATAGTATATTATGACAATGCAAAGATCGGTAAGCACTAGCCTTTTTATTAAGATGGTGTGCTAGATGTTTTGTTATTTTTCATGCCTAGGAGTTTCTTGAGAAAACAAAGTGTAACAAAAATTATAATGCACTTTTTTATCTTAAATTTTATGGATTCTAAATCAAAAATTTTCTTATTTGTGTAGAAGTATACGATTATATGGATAATTTGCCTCATCATGTGCTTATTCATTGGCTATTTCACTCATCTGAATATGAAAATCCAAAAGTATACTGCAGTACAAATCCATGACCATCTGAAATTAAGAATAAACTTCTTAAATAATACATTATGTGGAAGACTTATTAGTGGTACATGGCAAACAACTGTCAATGAGAGTGAGATCGTGCTATATAATCGTTTACTCAAAGTACAAATTCAATGTTTAGAGATCGAATATAAAAATTTATCCTGTACTGAATTTATTATTAACAATGGTTTTTATTCCAAATATATTACAAATTTAGAATATAACAATCCCATGGCTTTTTCAATTCTTGTCTATAAAAATCTCTATCAATTCCAAGTACTGATGAGAACATTGTATGTTAGAAGTAATTTTCATTGTATACATGTCGATGAAAATGCTTCGACAAATTTATATACATATGCTCTTAAGCTTTCGACATGTTTAGACAATGTATATATTGCTACTCCAAGACTAAAAGTATCATGGGGTACAATGAGCATACTTGAAGCAGAACGTCTTTGCCAAACTTATCTTCTCAAACAATCATCAAAATGGCATTATCATATGACTATTGCAGTTAGTCTTCTAATTTGAAAATAAATCTTTTCAATTCTGAAAGTATTTATTTTAGGGCACCGAACTTCCAATACAAACAAATTTAAATCGAATACAAATTTTACAACTTGCACCTGATAAATCTCGTAATGATGTGTCTTCTTTTCCACAATCTTATAATAGACAAAAGTCAAAAAAGTCTCCTCCACCTAGCAATCTAACTGTTTATAAAGGCGAATTTCATTCTATTCTTACTCGAGATTTGATTCAAGTAGTGCATACAAATCCATTAGCATTAGAATTTTGGTCATTTCTTAATGGAACAGATGTACCTGATGAACAATTTTATCCAACATTGGTTCATCTGCCTGAATTGCCAGGTGGTAAGGCACGAGGAACATCAACTTATGTTTATTCTGAACTTCTTTCACATTACAAAATTTGGAGGGATGGAATATGTCAATCGAAACAATTTCGCAGTGGTGTCTGTCAGTTTAACTATAAAGATTTAATGAATATAGAACAAAGTGGTCGGCTATTTGCTAACAAATTTAATCAAAACCTGGATTTAGTTGGTATTGACTGTTGGAAACAATGGTTACGTGTTAAACAAGTTCATCACCAAGATATTGCTCCTCAAAATTACGTTGATAAATTTCCATTTACTCGAAGGATAGCACATATGCATTACAGTGAGAATACAACCATTAAATCGAAATTAAATCGGTCGATCTTATTCCATTAATAATAATTTATTAAGTTTCAATTCTGATTGAGAGAAACTAGAATTGAATAAAGTATCAGAGAACATAATAAAGCGCACGAAATTTCAGCTGGCTGTGTAGCAGTTTCAATACACTTTGCTTGTGATACTTACTGGTGTTGTTATATTTATCTCGAACTGTTTTCGATTAAGGAAGATTATTGACATATTTGAGTAAATTGTTCACTTCCTGATTAATATTTATTTATTTAATAATAATTTAACGTTTCGGACAACAAGGGTGTGGGTTTTTAGTCTTCGATCACACACATCCACACCCACACCCAGTTTATTTTCTTTAATCTTAACTGCGGTCAGTGTGTCGCAGTTACGCGTAACTGCGTCGCAGAATGGCTACTGCGCGTAACTGCAACACAGTTGTTAAAAAAGTGATGACGTGGGTATGCAAAAGAAAATTTTGTGTTTCTTCGAAAATAAAAGAAAGTGTAGAAAAGTTGAAGTTTATGCATTATATTTGAAAGTAAACATGAATCTTTTTATCATATCGTAGCGTTGCGTATAGTCATAACAATAATATATTTTAGTATTTGTCTAATTTTCGTTTAAAATGTAATTGAATGTTGTGCACGAAACATCCTTTAGATAATGGTCGGAATTGTACGATGATAAATTCTTGAGTAGGTTGTTTTCGTTTGATAAAGAGAAATGTAATTTGTTGATACTGCCATTGTATTTCAGATTGAGCAGAAGGAATATCTGAAAATAAAAGAGAAAAACATTATCGGTATTAGAAAATAAAAGAAAATAATTGATCAACAGTGACATGTTATGAAATATTTCAAGTCTGAAATCGTTCGATTTTTTCATGAAGTTGGTTTCTTCGAAGGATTCGATATATCTACCCAAAAGTATATGTTAAGTTCGATTATGCAAAGAAATTCTCGATTGAGCGGTAGAATCTCTTTTAAATTGATTCAATCACTTACGATAATTGACTAAGGAAACGTTAAAATTGAACAAAAATCCAATACGAATTTGACCTTCTTTACATTGACCCTCACTTCCACCAAAATAAGCTGACAGTTTATATTCTGCTTCTCCATTTTGTAAAATTGATTGAATATTACTTAAATCAATACTCTGTTGGAGGATACATGGATTGTCATATGCAGGTCCAAAAGAACAGAAGCTCATTTTCGTTGCATTTTGAATAAGTGTTTCATTGTGACTATATAAATTCGGAAGACCATCTATTATAATCCAGTGATTAATGATGTTGTCGAATGAGTCACACTGGAAACAATCGTTGAAGATAAGATTAATTAACATTCTTTAAAAAAATCAATACATAAAAGAGAACTTTTATTGACTTACATTTTCTTCAGCATCACCGTTTTCAATAAGATTTGAAGAATTAATCAACCAAGTACCATTTGGTAGTACAACATTTTCTAATGTTGAATTTTGAGCATCTCTTATATTGACTGTTGAATGTAAAAGATTGGTGTAAATAAAATAAACACTTTGTAGTTGTGTTCCATCGAAATTAGCGTAAGATAAATCGACACCTTTGAATTGAACATGACATAAATGAATTCCTCGACAACCAACGGAGACCATTGGTACACGTGCAAATACATGATTGATTTCCAAGGGGGAAAAAGCGGATTTTTTTGGATTTTAAATCCGAAAAAATCCAAAAAAAATCCGAAAAATCCCGAAAAATCCAAAAAAATCCCAAAAAATCTCAAAAAATCCCAAAAAATCCCAAAAAATCCCGAAAAATCCCAAAAAATCTTCTTTGGATTTTAGAATCTGTAAAATCCCAAATCCGCTTTTTCCCCCTTGTTGATTTCACTACCAAAAATATCCCGGCAAAAAAAGTGCGATTGTTGAAAATCGACACTAGACAAGTTTGAATCAAGCAGACGAGTTTCTCCTCGAAACTGACAATCGAAGAACGATGCATTTGTCAAATCCACAAATAATGTGTATAATTTTCCTTAAAATCCTGTATTCACAAAATGACTATTGATCAGACTTGATTGGAATAAATCAGTTCGTCCATTAAAATAACAATCGAGAAACGAAGCATTTGTCAAATTCGCTTCGCTTGCCTGGAATTTTCCGTAGAAACGTGTACCAATAAATTGAGTATTGACTAGAGTTGAACCTCTCAAATCAGCTTCATTAAAATCGCAATCAATAAATGTAGTCTTTATCAAGTTTACCGATCTTAGTGATAAACAACTGAAATTATATTTTCCAGTTACCGGACTCTTTATTCTCATATTGCTTAGATCAGCACCAGTTCAATTAAATCAACTGTTGAACTACGTCTGGTCGTATCCGGAAGCAAATTATTTTCATAAAGAAATATAAATAACTGACTCTTACGATCACTATCGATACTTCTCAAAGTGAGTAACGTTTTACGACGAATATATAACATTTTCTTTTCTTCACTACTGAATATTGACTGATTTTGTTCTGATTGTTTATAAATAGCTGCTGAAATTTCTTGAGGGTGTGGGTGTGGGTCTTCTCTTCGTCTACACCTGCATTCTCATCCCCGAGAGTGGGTGGGGTGTGGGTGTGGGTTTGGGTGGGTGTGAGGGTGTGGGTGTGAGGGTGTGGGTGGGTGTGGGTGTGGGTGGTGGGTGTGGGTGTGGGTGGTGGGTGTGGGTGTGGGTGGTGGGTGTGGGTCTGTGGATGGGTGTGGGTGGG